CATTTAGATGATTTTAAGGCAGGTTATAAACATTTTCTTTTGTAGCTATTAATATAACCCTTGACTGAAAACTGTACTTAAAGGGAAAAGACCATTCATTCTGCCTTTTTAGTAGGAAATTGGTTTCAGGATAACCAGAGCCTCGGCTGGAAGAGGGGAAGTTCAATTCCCATAAAAGAAGTCAGCTAATAAATGAAGGATGAATAAAATAATTAGAAATTATGGTTTTACTGAAACTCAAATATAATTAATGATTGAGGCAAGTACTACTAACTGTTGTTTAAAACACTAAATATTGGGCTGCCTGGGTGGCTCAGCGGTTAAGCACCTGCCTTCAGCTCAGGGTGTGATCCTGGAGTCCCGGAAGCCTGCTTCTCTCTTTGCCTATGTCTCTGCCTCTCTCTCTCTCTGTGTCTCTCATAAATAAATAAATAAAACGTTTAAAAAAAAATAAAACACTAGATTCATGGTTGACAGGGTATTGAACATACAAATAGTTCCAAGATGATACCATACAGAACCCACTAAGTTATAAAGGAGAAAACCATACATTAAAGGAATTTGATAGCACCAAATCCAGTGGTCATTTTTAGCATCCATAATGGTAATTTAGGTATCATTTGTTTTCAGATACGATGCAACATATACTATTAATGCATGAGGCTATAGATTTAACTTCTGGTTCACAAGACATACAGAGAATGGAGAAACAAGTTAAAAAATACCACAAGGAAAACAACAGAGAAATTCGAAAAGTGGAACAGTCCATAAGAGGTCTGGTCTCATAAATCAGTGTTAGCAAAAAGGGACCATGCATGTGTGAGAGAGATTAAGGGCACAATAGTCACACACAATACATGGTCCTGGATTAGATATTGCTCTGGACATTTTAGATCAATGGAGGAAATATGAATATAATCCAGGTACAGAGATGATGGAGTATGTGCTAAAGTGGAAGGACAGACCACTGACTGAAAAAAACAGGTGATAAAACTATACTGGTGAACATAAAACATATGGTTATAGTACACACACATATACACATATCCTACTTGTATAAATATAAAAGGTTTCTTTTTAAGGAAAATTTTCTAAATTTTCAAAGGTATAAATGTACATGACATTTTTCACAACAAAATGACAAAACAAAGTTTCAAACTTTTACTTTCAGAATACTCTCTTCACTATCATGAATTTGTTTTGAAGGGCACTTGCTTTTCCACTTAAAATTTCACCTTTACTTCAGGGGCACCTGGGTGGCTCAGTCTGTTAAACATCTATCTGCCTTTGGCTCAGATCATAATCCCAGGGTCCTGGGATCGAGCCTCACATTGAGCCCCACATTGGGCTCCCTGCTCAGCGGGGAGGCTGCTTCTCCCTCTCCCTCCCCCTCAAATAAATACATATAATCTTTTTTTAAAAATTCACCTTTCCTTCAAATGACAGCTTAAATGCCACCACCCCCAAAATCTGGCTAGATAATAACCACTGAGTTATCACAACAGGGTAAACTGATGACTTCATAAAATGATGTGATATTTATCTTTCTGTAAGAAGAAAAATTCAGTTATCTTTTTTATTCTTCAACTATATAAAAGAATTTTACCTTCACCACAATTTGTTACCAAAGCTCCTACCATTCCAGATAGTTGGTAAAACCATTTACCAGGCCATATAACATGCAATACTTGGAAATACACAAAGACAAATGAATAGTAAGCCAATAATCTCACTTCTTCTGCCACAGATGGTACCTGACCAACTGACAAAAGGGACTAACAAAGCATGAGCGTATCAAACCTGTTTTAATAGTTGAGTATTTGCAAAACCTAACCTCCTCTGCTTTTAAGACAAAAAAAAAAAAAAAAAAAAAAAACAAAAAACAAAAAACAAGCCTGCTCCACACTCCGTATTAGGTCCTTTGGAATACATGAAGATGAAGAAGACATTCGTTTCAGAGGCCCAGAGTGTAAAAAGATGGATAGTGAGTCAGCTTATTGGGAATACTTTCTTACTGACAGTTCTTCCTCCAGATTTTTTGTTCTAACATTACCACACCATCTTCCACGTTAATCACTAAAAATCACTACTATCTCCAAATTCCTCAACAACCCCAAAAAATGGTTACGAAGGCTGCAGATCAATTTTAGGGAACTTTCACTCTTTCTAAAAATCTTTAATCAGAGGATTCAACAGACTTCAACCAGATCAAATTTTCACTTACTTACTTTGATATTTAATGTTTTGAGATATCTATATTATATCTTGACACTCCTCTGCTACTGATCAGTTTCCTTTCTCAGGGCCCCTGGGTGGCTAAGTTAGCTAAGCCATCTTGCCTTTGGCTCAGGTCATGATCCCAGGGTCCTGGGATCCAGCCCAGAGTCGGGGGAGGGGGGGGGTCCCTGCTCAGCAGGGAGCCTGCTTCTCCCTCTCCCCTACAATTCCCGCTCGTGCTCTCTTTCACACACTATCTAATAAAGAAACAAAATCTTTAAAAATAAATAAATTTCCTTTTCTTGGAAGTTTTTCTCCTGTCTTCCCACCTACCATCTATTTCAACTCCAAGCCCCTACTTTAGCCAGCCAGTCATGGCTGCAAAGACTTTTGCTACAGCCAAGAGCTGTAATCCTGCCAAGCTGGCTTCTTAACTAAGCAGAGGAATGAACTCAAGTGAATGTCCAAATTACTTACCTGGCACTTTCTTAACCAATCAAATCAGTGCCAATCTGAGAGTGTAAAATCCCGAAGGATTTCTAACTCTAAATATGTTAAATCTAGAAAAATAAACTTTTACATGCAAAAATGCAAACATAAACAAAGTCAAAAGACCAACAGCAAACTTAGAACAAATATGACAACAAATTTTCAGTAAATATGCCAAGGGGTCATTGTTTTTTTTCCAACAGCAACAAGATTGTTAAAAAGAGACTTCTTATTTATTAAATTATTAAGCACTGTTTTTAACAAAATCCTTGTTTCCCACCATGCTTGCAACAACCCTCTGAGGGTTCTTCACTGACGTCCCCATGTCTGGCTCCCTGTAGCCTTCTCCCCGTGCCCCATCTTGGGAACAGGTCATGGACCAGGGATGAATGACTGAGCCAAGAGCAGTGCAAGCAGAGCTGTGTGTGTTCTACTCAGGAGCACGTTCTCTTAAACGGAGTGTCTTCCTCTATTTTCTCCTGGATGGGTGAATATTTTCACTGTCACACTAAGGGCCATTTCTCCAGGATTCCCTTTAATATTTTACAAACCCCAAGAATTCTGGCTGCATCCCTTTTTCTGTAAAGCTGTCATGATTGATTCTAATCCATGGGGTCCTCTTCCCAGTGATGGGCTAAGTAATGGGACCACATGCCCCAGTTATTCAAAGAGCCACCTCTCCATACTCTTTTTCTTAAGAACTAGTCTAGGCTTTTTTCCCCCCTAAGAATTTTTCCTAAGCACAATACACAGCAGGAGAGATGGGAAAAACACAAACAAAAGCACCACATCTGGGTACGCTTAAGAAGTCAAATTTTAGTAGGCCTAATCTACAAACCTGTGTTTCACACATTCAGAGATGATAAGAAAACTTAGAAGTATCCCAGAAATATTTTTCTTTTTTCTTTTTTTTTAAAGATTTATTTATTCAATCATTCAGAGAGAGCAAAGAGAGAGGCAGAGACACAGGCGGAGAGAGAAGCAGGCTCCATGCAGGGGGACCGATGTGGGACTCAATCCCGGGTCTCCAGGATCACACCCCAGGCTGCAGCGGCGCTAAACCGCTGTGCCACCAGAGCTGCCCCCCCCTTTTTTTAAAGACCAGAAATATTTCTATCAACTACTTCTGTAAGCACTTGAAGAGGAAAATAAAAGCAAAAAGGCCCTAATTACATTTGTTAATGATTTACCTTAAACACAGAAAAGGAAATTAGTAAATGCTTAGGTGCAATTTCAGCTAGTACCACCAACCTCTGGTTTAATCACTATATATTCCAAATCATTAAACTATATACCAGAAAATAATTTTCAAAGGAAGGAAAGCATGACAGAGGCAAGCAGCAAGTTGGGGAAGAAAAAAAACTTATCTAAAGAATTTCAAAAACAATCCCCTAATGGTGGGTGGGAGTAGAAGACACATCCACTAGCTATTCTTCTTCCATCAATAGGGCAGCCAGGTTCCACACCAACAAACAGATAAGGGGCACTATTCTGGACGAGCTCTCAGCCTACTCTGGAAAAATTGTTGCTAAGGTATTCCCACAGATGAAAGTACTAGGCAGTAATAAAATGTGACTCTAAAGAAACAAAGATATTTCGTGATGCTTAAAATAAATGAAGTTTATGAGTCTTGTATAAACATTGGCTATTCCAAAGCATATTTTCCAATGATTCAACTAGACCTCTCGATGTCCTGTGTACCCTACGTAGCATGTACCCTTTTTCCTGTAACACGGACTCGCCATTATCTTCATGCTAGATGTTTTGATGAAAATGAAAAGAATCTGTAAGAATAGACCTAAGAGTCACATCTTAGGAAAAAAATCGCTTATATTCAAATTATAAAGCACTCTTACCTCATGTGCTGCACTTTGATGTTTCTCTAGAAAAAAATTTACTGGTCCTGGTTCTACTTTCACAACCTCACTAAATGATCATGGGTTTATAAAACAAAGCTTTGGGGGCTGTTTTTTCTAACCTTAAGTGCCATAACATATACAAAGGTCTTCCTGGGAGTTGGTCAATTTCTTAGAAAATAGACTTTTTAAAGAGCGGTTTTAGGTTCAGAACAGCAAACTGAGTAAAAAGTACAGAAATCTCCCATACACCCCATCTCCCCCAAAATGCACAGGCTTCCTGTTGGTCAAATCTTTAAAAGCAAAACACGTTCCTTCTGGAAAGAAATCAAGATACTATCTTAGAAAAAGTAATTTCAAAATTTCAATTGCTTTGAAGTAGCACCATTGGATGCATGTTCACTATGCAATATGTTAGGAAATCCATTAAATACTCACCATATAACATCCAATAAGGAAAGCAGCATTTGCTTGTTTTCTCTGATCAGAGCCAGTAAAATGAATAATTTTCTTCCTCATCATTGTGATGGACTATATAAAGATAAACAGCTGTTAGTATTCTCTTTTAATTTTGAGTCTTCAAAACTTCATTTTGTGATGAAGATAAATTCCAAACCTTACAATGTAAAAGCATTCATCTTAGCAAGATCTTGAAAATGATTGACTTTGATACCCCAAAATACCATGTACCTTCCCAAAAAAGACATGTTCTTGGACTGGGATGAAAGTACAGTTAAGGGGTTAGGGAGGGGACATGAAGAGATATATGCTTGGAGTATAAGCTCTGAAAGAATACATAAGATGCTGGAAAAGGCAGTGATAGGGGAGGCTTTTTCTGTTTTTGTTCTTAAGTACATTCCCCAAACCTTTATAATTAAAAGGGTATATTAAAACAGGCAAAAATAATTCATTCTGTTAGAAATCAAGATGATGAATGGGGTAGGAGGACAGGGTGAGGGTGGAGCAAAGACAACAGCATAAGTGGGTTCTTGTGTGGCATTGTTAATGCTCTGTTCTTGATTTGATGACCAGGATGGTAACCTATATTCACTTTGTGAAAATTCATTGAGTTGTGCACTCAAGATCTGTACCTATTGCTGTTACATACATTGTACTTCAATAAAAAGTTAAATAAAAAGGATATGGAATTTAAAAACCAAAAAAGCATATGATTAGTTAGCACCTCCTCACCTGTATTTCACTAACGTGAGCAGAAACAGATTCAGGTAGGCATAAGGAAAAGGATATATTCAGTTCAAAAAGCACATATTTCTTGGCTTCTGTGATTTAATGATGAACGTGTACATATTTTCCTTTAGTTGTTTACACAGCGTAAGAAATCAAGTTGATTTTAAAAAACAAAACCCAAACCCAACCAGCCATAGAGTAACACAAGAACAAGACAACTTTAATTCAAACTCAGCACACTTTTGTCACTAATTAGCAGGCAGTAGTATTTCATCAGGCTGGGTGGTCAACACCCTGGAAGTTGTTTTGCTAAATTATAGAAAGTTAAAAAAAAAAAAAAAAAGACCAATATACCAGTACATTCTTTTTTCAGTCAAAGGATAAAACGTGGAGTATAGGGGTGATAAAGTCTTTCAAAATTAAGCAAAGAAACACAAGTTGGGGGAGAGGGTATTTTTAGCTTCCCAGCCCTGTATGAACAAAAGATCTGCCATTAGCAACCAGAAAAGAGGAGGAGGGTGTGGACATAAATATACAAGGCTATAAATGCTTATACTCTTATTCAAGAAAAAAATAAAGTCCAGAAAGAAGAGTCTCCATCTCTACATAAATCTGTAGGGCAAACATATGGAATACAAAAAAGAAAAGGCAATCCTACTACTTCCATTCTGCAGATCAGTAACTCCTTTGACAAGTGCTTCTAACATTTATAATGGGGAATTTTAGGTTTGAGGCTCAAGGGGAAAAAATCTGCCTTACTCATAAATTTTTAATATGATTTAACTTTTAATTGAAAATAAATATTATTTCTTCTGTGTATTATTAGTATGGTAGGTAATCAATTGGGTAATGTTGTTTCCAGAATTTTCTATTTGAGAATTTACAGTGACAAGTTTGGAATTGCTAGGAACACATAAACACTTTTTATTGATGTCACCATAACTTACAAGTTTTTAAGATAGAAGAATGGTGTCTAAGTTCAAACTAATAGAAATACACTTTTGCAACTCTCAAACATGTTCTTAAAAAAACAGTGGCCCCTGCTTCCCTGGTGAGGGGAAGGTGAGGGGAAGGTGGGGTGAAGAGTCACGAGTAATACAATACCATGACAGATTAAAGATAGAATGGAAGTTGGGGCACCTGGGTGGCTCAGTTGGTTAAGTGTTTGCCTTCGGCTCAGGTCAGGATTCTCGGATTGAGCCCCATGTTGTGCGTGCTCCCGCTACCCCTTCTTTCTCCCTTCTTCCCCCCTCCTCCCCGCCCTTCCTCTGTCTTTGTCTCCTACTTGAGTGCGGGTTCATAATTCTCTCCCAAATAAATAAATAAAATCTTTAAAAAAAAGAATGGAAGTGAGATGAGCCAGTATCTTTTATTAATTTGCTAGCACTCTGTCCAAGTGAAGCAGAAAGAAGAACAATGACTAAAGCAAGGGTTCAGTCCCAATTAGATCAGACAGCAAGAGGTTTTATTTCATTAACCAATTCCTACTTTGGCTTTTCAAGTATCTGAGCATCATCAATCCAAATCAGAACCAAATGACCCAATCAATCTTAAACCACTCAGTCAAAACTGTGGAAAACAAACATAAATACTATGACTATATATAACAAAAATCACATGTATGTCCCAAACACCACTGTAGTGAGAAATAGGTGTTTTATATGTTATTGGTTTTTTAATGAAAAAAAAAAATAGAGGTATATTTTCCTTTATTTTCCCTCATCAGAATCAAGTTAACAATGATAACTTAAGTCAAATCTTAAGTAAAAAAGATTTTACCTTTAATTTCTTATTTATCTTGCAACAATATCTGTAAACCATTGCCAGATTGAGTGGTCCAAAATCTGCGTAGAAGCTTTAAAAATGAAAAACAAAAATATACATATACATTCTAGATCCTCTAAATATAAATGTCTTTTTGGAACTACAAGATCCAACTAAGACAAGAAAGCATACACCAAATTGTTATTGGTCATACAACTTAATGATACTGCCCTACTAGTGGCAAACTAGTGCTATTCTGGTAAATAACTCCTATTAAAAAATATGACAAAAAATATGACAAGTGCTACAATGCTGAAGTCTAGCCTCAATAACATCTGAATGAAGAAGCTGTTTTTCCAATGGTAAAAACACCACATCTTACTTATTAATATACTAGTTTATATCTCATTATACTTTAAACTGTTAGGATTTCAAATACAAGTTGTCAAATTTAGGAAGTTCCTTCATTTTGATATTTTCCCTAAGGATGTACTTTATTACCAAGGGCTATACTACCAAGAAAAAAAGCATTCTGCAATTATCCATCAACAATTTTTTAATTTTCCAAGGCTATTCTATTTACAAACATACCTTTAGATTCTTCAAAATAAAAAAGTTAGTAACAATCTTTTAAAAAGCAATACTTACTTCTCATATTCAAGTTCATTATCTATGCTGAAATAATGTACATTTGATGAACTCTTTGGTCTGCTGTAGAGAATGGCAAAACAAAGGCGATCTGCAATGGAAAAATTGCAATGTTCCTTCCTTCAGGTTATTAAAAAAACGTTTCACATATCATGATGCAACTCTTTTCAGATTAAGTCAATTTTTAAGTTTTTTCCATGCATAGTAAGGGTGCCAATGGGTAATTTCAAAATGTTCTGCTATTTTGGTAGGTAACATAAGCAACATTTTTAAAGGAGAAATTGTTTTTAACCAGAAATGTCAATAGCCATAAGTAATTTTTCACACAGCAACATGGCTAAACTTCTAGAGGAACCTCTCATTACAAAAGTCTAGTTCCCCTGGGCTAAGGAATTTCAGCAAAGGGCAGCATGCATTTGGTAGTTCGGCACCAACCTAGATTACTCGCGGTATGTTTTGCTAGGTTTTCAAGTCATCCTAAGAAGTCTTCAGTAAGAAATTCTGCTTTTTAAAATAGAAGCTAAAGAACGCTATCAAAATCGCTGTAAAATTAATGTTTATGGCTATAGAACACAAATGAAATAAACCATGTGTTTATTCAACTGTTCTTAGGGATCCCTACTTCTTGATTCAGAATCATCATTATTATTTTTTGTGTGTGTGATTTCTACAATTAGACAAATTACCATTACGAACTAAGCAATGAGAGGTGTCTCCAAGATGAGTGAGAGATGGACTTGTGTTGCGTAAACGCAGCTGGGCTCCATGGAGTTTAGCAAGAGTGCTCTGAGGCTGCACCCTTCCCCCACCTCACCCCAAGGTGCTGCCTGGAGATCCTAGGTGGAGCAGTCACCCACCTGTAGCACCTACTAGTGGCCATACGTGTGTTAGCAGAGCACTCACACTCGGATTGTAGCAAAGTCAAGGGCAGCCTTCAACATAGTAAAGAACAGAATGCCAGCTGGCATCCTTTCCCCAAATGGTAATTTACACAATTTTTGTCTGCGATTCAACGCTCACCGTCGCTGTCTTTATTTCCTTGCAAACTCCTCAACTGAAACGTCTTGCAACCAGACACTCAAGCAGCTGACGGAGCTTATTTCTTCCCCACCACGAATGACCCTTGGTCCCCGCGCACACAGTGACCTGGGATCTGACCCCAGGGGAGCAGAGGCCAGTTTTGTGGCAGCCAGGGAGGAGGACAACCGGGTGCCCCCCGCACGTCCATGCGGGTTCCCCGGGGCGGGGTCCTGGGAGGGCAGCACCCGCTGGCCCGACGGTGGGCGTGGGGGCCCACGGCAGCAGCAGGAGCCTCCTCGCCCCGCCCCGCCCCGCCCCGCGCCGCGTCCCTGGCCGGGCCGAGGCCCCGAGGCCGTCCCCCCAAACACGGGAGTGCGGGCGGCGCGCCCCCGCGCCCCAGCACTCACCTCTGATCACCTCCACCACCAGCGGGATCCCCGCGCCCTCCCGGCTCATGACTCCGCGGCATCGGGAAGGCGGGGCGGAGGTAAGGCCGGGGCGTCGACCCGGGGCCGCCCGCCGGGAGGGGAGGCGCAGCCGTGACCGCACCCCCGGAGTGAAACAAACAGAAAGTTGGAAGGGCGGCGCCCAAGAGCGGAGCACAGCGACGGCCCCGGCCCTCCTCGGGGCCAGCCCACCAGCCCACCCGGCCGCCTCGGCTCCTCTCGGACGGCACCACACGGAGGGCACAGGGCGGGGGCGCGGGGCGCGGGGCCGGGCCGGAACGGGCCGGGCCGGGACGGGGCTGAGCCTTGGCCGCCGTGGGGCCCCGCCGCTCTGGTCTCGAGGTCGGGCTGCAGCCTCGTCGGCGAGTGGCTCCGGCCGCCATTAAGAGGACACTCAGCGGAGAGGGACTGGGCGAGGGCCTGCCTGGGGCGCGGGGGCGCGGGGGCGCGGGGGCGCGGGGGACCTCCCGCAGCCACGCGCCCCGCGGCCGCCAGGGGGCACCACGGCCGGGACGGGACAGGCGGGGGCGGGGAGGAGTCGGAGTCGGGTGCTAGGCCTGGACTCCGCCGGCAGCTCGGCAGCTCGGCAGCTCGGGCCTCCGGGTGCAGACCCCGCTGGGCGCCGGCTCGGGGAGCGCTGTCCCGTCTCAAATCGCCTCCCGAAAACCGTTCAGGACGCAAAGGTAAACCTACAAACAGGCCAGGCGTTCCTCTAAAGCCTTAGATTTCGCCTCAGAAAAGCATTGGAATGGGTGAAAAACAAAAATTCGGACACAATACTAAGCATCTATTTCAAGTATTTTCTAAGTCTATGTTACTGTGTTAATCTCAAGTGAAAAAACTTAATGTCCCGGTTTTGCTATATGTACTGGTGCTGAGGCCGTGGGTGTTTTACATTTGCCCTACGGAAAAGTGTTGCTTTCTTTATCCATCAAAAAACTTGCAATGACTCTCCCTTACAGAGAAAGCCAATACAGTAACCACTCTTTCCCCCAAATCACTTATAATCTCCATACAGCATGCACATTATATCACAGTATATGCATCTTTTTTATCAGAAGGAAGCCTGCATACCTCCTAACCTTATTCTAAAATTTCCAGATGGATCAAAGATTTTAAATGTGAAAAACAAAACAATGAATTATTTCTGTACTCTTCAACTTGGCCTTTCTCAATGCAACAAAATATAAAAGCCATAAGAAGATCGACTATTAATGCACATTTTTAAAATGGTCTTCTTGGCAAATAAATCAAGAGACACAATGGGAAAAAAAATTTTTTTTAATATTTCTTTCTTTGCAAGAGAGAAAGAGAACATGAGCTGAGAGGAGAGGCAAAGGCAGAAGAAGCAGGCTCTTGTTGATCAAGGGGATGGGACAGATTCGGGGCTCTATCCCAGGACCCTGAGACCATGACCTGGCAGATGCTTACCCCTTGAGCCACCCAGGGTCCCCTGGAAAAATATTTTTAAATTCATCTCAAGTTGATACTGAACTTCAAAATAAAAAAAAAAATACAAACTGAAACTACAAGATACTAGTTTACCTCCAGACTGGCAAAAATCAAAAGAATTTGATAAGACATTGTGTTGGTGAGTCTGTGGAGAAACAGGCACTTTCTCTCACGTTTCCTGTGGGTACGAATATAAACCGGGACAACTTCCCTGAAGGGTAAGGAGGGGCAACTTGGCAGAAATTTTCAAGACTGAAGACTGGCAAGGTAGGGCGCACTTGGGTGGCTCAGCGGAGCAAGAGGCTGTCTGATTCAGCTCAGGTCAGGAGCTCAGACCTTAGGGGCACATTACCAGCTTCCTGCTCAGTGGGGAGCCTGCAGATGCCTCAGTCCCGCCACCCCTCTCCGCCTTGTGCACCTGTGAGCAGGCTCGGCTCTCTCAAGTAAATAAATAAAATCCTTAAAAAAGAGTGCCAAGATAGACTACTATTTAAATACTACCATTTCTACTGTTTATCTGAGTGAATGTAAAGCATATATACACATTTGTGTGACTGTGTATGAAACCCTGCATAGCAAATCTCTGGAAGGATATACAACAAACTGGTAGCAGTGGATGCCTTTTATAGGGGGAAACTGGGTGTCCAGAAACACAAAAGGGCAAGTGAGATTTATGCCTTTTAGAACTTACAGGTTTTGTACCATATATTACCTATTCAAAATTAAGAAGCTTTTGAAAAGTGAACGTGCAGGCTGACAATGTTTTTCCAAAGCCATCTCTTCATCATGATACAAAGCATACTGTAAGCATAGCACTTTGCGCACATTTAAAAAAGAGAAATAGTTTAGTAACTTCTTTTGATTTGTACCTATATGTACCTTGAAATCCAGTTTCTTTTAACAAACCCAAATAAAACTGGGAATACCTAGAAGGAAGTGGGGAAGAGGTTTTTATATATTACTGGGAAGAAAAAAAGAATCGCTGATTTTTGATATGCAATTGTCCTTGTAGAGTATATTCTCAATATTCTATTGTTAGCATATTGTAATTAACTGCTACAGAGACTAGAGTGCTACGATGAGAGCTATTTATTCGAAACCTGGAGCTAGAAACAGGGATCTTTACAAAGTTTTGCTTAAAGGTTCATGATTAAACTTATAAACCTACTGTAAACCCATGTATCTTCCATTTAATGTCTCTGTTGTCAAAAAACAGAAAACTAAAGTTTTAAAGTAATAAACCTTCTTGTCTATATATTATACATATCTGTCACATAATGTTGCCTCTCTTGCTTCTCTGAGAAATGAAGGAAATGTTAACAGAAACATTCAATATCCTTGTGCCAAAGTTGTCGTTCTTGATTTGGCTTTTCAGCCTCCAGTTTGCTACTTCTTCCTTTTATAACTATGTTAAATAAATGAAAAAACGTTTTCCTGCATAACAGCTGTAGATATATGGGGACGCCTGGGTGGCTCAGCAGTTGAGCATCTGCCTCTGGCTCAGGTCATGATCCCTGGGTTGTAGGTAGGATGAGTCCCACATCAGGCTCCCCACAGGGAGCCTGCTTCTCCCTCTCCCTATGTCTCTACCTCTCTCTGTGTTTCTCATGAATAAATAAATAAAATCTTTAAAAAAAATTGTAGATATTTGGGAATAATTAATCAAACAGAGGAGTATGTTCTAAACCAAGTGAGAAGTATATGGAGGAGTCAGGTGGCATTGATAATATGGTATATACCACTTTTTAACAGAAAAGATGACAATTTCTACTTGGGCCTCATAGACACTATGGACTTCCTACTATTTACCACTGGTACTGACACTTCACAGATCCTGGCAGAGCAGCTAGAGACATGAACAGCTTTCCTACAGCATAAGGGAGCTCACCTACAAGACAAGCAGAAAGGAGGATTCATATACCTAAGCAACAAAAAAGAACAGGTAAAAACATAACAAAACAAAACAAAAAAAAACAGCCTCCACCTAAACAATGATTGTCCCTGAGAGAGGACCAGCAGACATCAAACTCTCATCTGTATTATGATAGTTACACAACTTTAAAGGGAAGGAGTAACCAAGGGGAGCAGGGGAAGAAATATTCATCAAAGTACTGATTTAAAAAAAGAAAACGGGCATCTGGGTGGCTCAGCCAGTGAACCATCAAGCCTTTGGCTGGGGTCATGATCCCGGGGTCTTGGAATGGAGCCACACTGGGCTCCCTGTTCACTTCTCCCCCTCCCCCTGCTCATGCTCTCTCATTCTTTCCTGTTCATGCTCTCTAAAAATGAATATTTTTTAAAAATGTTTATAAAGAAAATAATGACAGCGAGCATAGAGAATTTAGTGTCACATACTGCATTAATAATAAGCTCTTTACAACCTATGTGGTAGATACACTACTGCTACCAACAGTGTATCTTCCAGGAAAGGAAACCTAACCTTAAAGAGGCCAAGTGCCTAACCTAAAAGCAAGGTCACAAAACCTGTAGTAAAGTAGCAGAATTAGGACAGACTATTAGACTGAAACCTAAGATTTTTAAAATCCCTGACTCAGAGCCCAGTCCTAATATCAAGCAAGAATAATTAAAACAATATGATTTTAGCACAGCAATCACTCCTATCATTACAATAACTGGAAATTCTGGCTGATGCCAAGATAAGAAAAAGAAATGAGAGAGACGAATTGGAAAGGAACCAACTGTCCTTATATATAGACAATGATTATCTTCCCCCAAAATACAAGAGAATCTGTAGACAAACTACTAAATAACCTAATAAACTTTTGCAAAGTTTCTAGGTATACATGGTTAACATACAAAAACCAAGAGTTTTTCTATATACCTGTAATAACCAATTATGAAATATAATTTAAAAAACCATGTGCATCTCCTCTGGAAAGGTAAAGCAGGTTTATAATTGAAAAAACTCACTATCACAAAGATGGTGATTACCCTCAAACTAAAGGCAATACTTACTAAAATCTCAATAGAGCTGATCCTAAAATTAATCTAGAAGACCACAGGGCCAAGAAAAACTGAAACCACTTTGAAAATGAAAAGGAAGGAGGTCCTTGCCCTACCAAATAGTAAAACTGAATTTAGGTACTGCAGTATTGGCCCAGTAAGAGGCCACATATGCGTGGAAACTTCACATACGGTGGAGATGGAATTATAGATCATTAGAAAAAGTTAAGAATACTCAATACACAGTATGGGGATAAATGGATGTGCATATTTCCAGGGATGGTAGGAGAAGATGGATCCTGATCTCGCATCATATGCCACCAGTCCCCCAAAAAGAAAAAAATCTCAGGTGGATTACAAGCCTAGATACAAAAAGAAAGCTTTAAAAGTTTTAGAATATAGAAAAGTATAACAGTGAAGGGATGGGTTTCTTTAAAAAACAAGACATAAAAGGTACCAACTATAAAGCAAAAATTTAAGAAATTTGGTCACATTAAGATTTAATGTGTCCCTTCAATACAAGACCCCATAAATAAAATTTAAAAAGATAATTCACACTAGGAGAAGGCAGGTACAATGCACAAAAGCAAAAGGGATTAGTATTAAAATTTACAACCAAATATAAGTGAAAGAGAAAAAAGCTAACACCCAAATAAATAAATGGGCAGAAGATGAGAGTAAGAAATTCACAAAAGAAGAAACAAAACTGTCCTTTTCTGATCTTCTTTTTAGGACGTACGAGTATGAGGATGGTTTTGGTCTATGCTATGCCTTGTGATGAAGTGCGCTAATTGTTCAGGAAAAGCTATGGCAACAACTAACCCTGAAATCTTAATGATTTAGTTCACTATGACAAAAGCTTATTTCT